CAGTAGAACTCGATTCTCACCGACTGTACACGTCACTTTCTCGAGTATGATTATTTCCCCGAAATCGCAGAAGCGTCACGCCGAAACGTGCCCCGCCCATCATCACCATCCCGACAAAAGTACGAAATCACTAGGCCGCTCCAAGCAGATAGTGGCTATCACCCAGCGCCGCTGGCGGTGTGGCGAGTCACCACCGCGGCGGCGTGGCGCAAGCGCATCCCGCCGACCGCGTGGCGTCGCGACGCCGCCTCCGCCTCCTCTGCGGCGGCGGCCCCGACCCCCGTGCACCTTGCACCACCGCGCCGATAGCTCCACGCCGGCCAGCTGCTGCCCTCGCCGCAAAGCGCGCCGCTGCGCTACACGGCCGCCGCCGCCGCTGCCACGTTCCGAGAAGCCGCGCCGCGCCGCGCGCTTATCTTAATGTCCCGAGATTAGCTGCACTCGAGCTGCGGAAGAGCGGAGTTTCATCCATACATCACACGCTTCATTCCGTTGCTTCGTCACTCGCCTGCGAGGCCCGCGAAATTACACGCCGATTAAAACGCAGTGGCAGGAAGAGTAGGACACTCTCATGCCATCAGGAGATCCCCCTTATGACTTCAATATTTGGTGTTGGAGCTCTGTATTCGATGACAACGTGCTCCTCTGCTTCCAGCTCGTGACTTTGAAGTGCCACTGTCTTCAAATCGGAGTATACATCAAATTTCCTTATACCTTTTACTCCAAGTATTAAAAACCATTAACCATACACTACTTGAATGCGAAGGTAACATATTCATTAAAGAGTTTAGTTTCGAAAAAGTGGAAGTGCCAAAATCGTCGTTTCCCAGTTTAAAATTTTAAATGGATCTATGAGCCAATCCAACAATTTTCGGAAGGGTCAGTGAGACATGGATAAGCATTTTCGATAGTTTACCAATAACAACAGCTCGGAGCAAAGAATCAACTGAAATAGCTCAAAGACTGTATTGGCGAAGCGACTATCACAGGGATGTTCAGAGGTTTGTATCCCTATGGTAGCAGAATTTCCACGCATAGGAAAACCTACTTAGGTCGACTTCATCCGCTCCCTCTAGGGGAATTCTAGAATGAGACTGCTCTGGTTTTACGTGGTTTCTCCAAGCAGTAACCCTAACAAACCGACCACGGCTCGCGCGCGATCGTTCCTTCCTCTTATTTACCCTATCCGTCCTCACTCACTCACTGACAATCGCACTACCCTATTACACAAGTCGGGAGACTAGTCGACAGCTTAGATCTAGTTTCGACCTAGGGGATTGGTCACACTCTAAGAGTCCTGCTAAGGGGAGTTACCTGGAGATGATATCCCCTGGGTGCAGTGAATTTGTGATCTCACCATCCAGACGAGGAAAACTATATCACTCGGAACAAAACTTCCAGTACTCTAAAGAGACTAATGACCATAGTACTTGACGAGCCAGCAATCCTCAAACCACCGGCGAGAAGGAATCATCGGCCACACCTGCGGGCATCTCCTTCACCCCCCCCCTTTCCCGCGCCAACCCCCACACCACCGCACCCCTTCGCCCGGCGCTGGCCACTGTGCCGCGAGCACATTAAGTAACTTGTCGTCGAATGTTGGCGCCGCTGCGATTTACAGCCCGTCGCCTTATCACCCGCCTCACCTCCCACCCACTCCGCACCCCCTTTTTTTTCTACCCCGATACCCCCTCGCGCCGTAATGGCAGCGCTATCTGCGTCGCGTATCAAACATCAACACTGCATTGTTTTCGTATTCGCCGTATTTATTTCTTTTCCCGTACTCATTAAGCATGGAATTCGAAAGAATCACGCACTCGCAGCACAGTACGTTAACTGTTTGCGTCCGCCAGCGCGAGCAAATATCACGGAGTTGGCGCTGAAAAGCAGTTTCAATTCACTTTGGAAAGTGCTACTTGAAAGTTTGAGGGAAATAACTAGGAAATTGTGTAGTATATGGTATTCAAGTTTCCCACCTACTTTGAAAAGACACACTAAGTTACGAATACACAACTTCTAAGAAGTTAATGGCGCCCACGTATGAGTGATTGTTTGACTTACTGTTTCCCCATTCATATTTTTGTAACGTGCCTCAAATTGAAACTACGTTCGGGACTAATTTTTTTCAAAAGAACCGAAACAAAAGTTGCAAACCTTTCAAAAAATTGCAACCACAGATATGCTTAAGTAATCCTGATTTAAAATCGAGTAATTTCGAAGTAAAGACTACTGCTCGGACGAAACCGTCATACATCGCCCAGCCCGCTGCGCCTCGAGTGTCGGCAAATATCGACTGTTTACCGAGGGAACGCCCACCTGCGAGGGGCTATCAGCGCGTTCGATCTGGCCCCTACGCGCGCTGCATTTCTTGTCACATCGCTGATGGATCAGCGCGCGGGAGGGCGCTTTAGCCTTCGCCAGCCGGGCGCGGAAAGTGTGTCGCGGCGCGGCGCGGCGCGGCGCGGCGGGGCACCGCCGAGCCACGCAACCGCGGAAACGCCACCGCGATAACTCGCCAGGGGCGCTGAAAGCCGCGCCGCTGATACGCAGACTTAAAATGCCAATAGGCGCCGATAGAGGAAGATCGATGTGCCCCCAAGATGCTCTTTCGAAATGCACTCCTAATGCACGTAATCGCACGGTGGGCAAGATCACGTTCCTAATGAGATTCTACACAGAAATAGTCGGGGCGATAAACCGTTTGTTGGTTCAGTTCGACGAATACGAGTCAAATCCTATGAATGGATCTGTTATTACTGCAATGTTATTGGTCACTAACACATGAACATCATAATGATTATCTGAACACAAGCGGTGCCTTCGTGATTTTGATAAGATAGAATTTAAAGATTGAATTCTATGAACATTCACTCTTTCACTTCTGGGTAATGCCATTATGTGTATAAAAAATATTTTGCACAATACCCAAATGCGAAAATTCCGTAACCATGTAAAATGTCTTCAGAGACCAATAAATGCAGATGTGGATTAGGATGGTCCCGCTACTATTTTCACAGATGAAAACAGTGGATAAATTAAATATTGTCCTAAATGGACGGAATATTGATAACTACTGATCATGTTAATTGAGAAATATTATCTTGCATTTTCCGTTCCCCTAACGTATTCGTGCATGCTAATTCTTTTGAAGAGTAAAGCACAACTCGATCACATTCTTCCTAAAAGACTAGATACCACCTTAATCTCTTCAATTCGCAAGTTTAACTCAAACATGTGAAACAATTCTTCGCAAGTAAGATTATTCAGTTCACGTGTAGAAAAAAAAAATCAAAAAACTAAAAAACAACAAGATAGTCGCGATGATTCGCAACTCCTGTTTGACACAAACGGCAAAGTAACAACAGCGTCCACAGTGGCTGGCCGGATTTGGGGGTGAAATGCGCTCGCTTTGTTGACCGGGACAGTGTGAATAAGAGAAAAGGGGAAAAGAGGGAGAGACAGAGACAGAGACAGACAGAGAGAGAGAGAGAGAGAGAGAGAGAGAGAGAGAGAGAGAGAGAGACAAACGCGGGGATGGGA